AATACATTTATGGAAGAATCATGGAATGTATATTTTAATTTATTAATATAAATGGAAAAAACACAGAGTAAATTTTTACAGGGGTTTTACATACTGAAATAGGTACTAGCACTATTAATATGGAAATAGGTGACTTTTTGACGCGGTTAATTGAGTCATATGAAAGCAATATAGATGATTGAGTCTGACGCAATTAAAAATTGAATTTTGGGAATTGAGTCAAAACTGAACTAATCTTGATAACACACATGTATCAAATTTAAAGTATGGAATTTGCAATTTGAAAAAAACAAATTCATGATTTAAAAAAGTATGCATAAAAATGAGTGATGCATTAATGATTATTATATTGGGTAAGTTGAGCTGTTTAAATGGTTGAATATATACTAACATTGCATTGTTGGAGAAGAAATAGAAATATATTTGTTACCAGAATTAGGATTTAATGCTAATTTGATGACTAAAACTCATTTTATTTTTATTTATTATTTTGTATAATTATATTATGAATGCACATTGTTGAATTCATACTGGTGAAAATACTTTATTAATAAAATCCAACACATTGATATTATATCATTTTCCAACAGATTAATAAAAACATATATTTATTTGTTGAATAATAAATAGGCACAAATTTTTTCAAGTCTACAAAATGGGGGTTTTCCACTTGACTTTTTAATAACGCTGAAAAACACTGAAATAATCATGCAACAAGAACCATATTTATACCTTGATTGTTTTATTTTGTTTTTTCTTTGCTGACTACTAAAAAGAAGAATCAAAATTTTCTTAAAGAAAAATGCAAATTGTTAATTATAATACAGTATCCCGTTTTCACCTATTCATGATTATGTAAATAAAAAAATGTTTTATAGAATCCTGAAAATACAATTTATGATCATCAATTAGATGTAATTGTCCAATCTAGTGCTCTTTGACTCGGAAACCATTACCGTAATAACCCCTTTAAAATTTCAAATCAATTGTACAAATAATCTATCAATCTTTAATTACATTTCTAATTTTTTTAATGAGAGTCGAAGTTTCTCGTGACAAAATCACAGATCTTTACAAACTTGGAATCTTCAAAAATAAAAATTTTGGGGGTAGCGCAACAATCAAGTTCATAAAAATGAAAGGGCTAAAAAATTCATTGAGAAAATAAAATGAGCATTTGGAAAGTCAAATGGGAGCAAAATTATTAGTACAAATCAGCTGAAGAATTCATAAAAAAATTTCTGAAACACTAAATACGTAATACTAAATTTGTAAATCAATGAAATCAATGTAAATCATAACAACAACAATAATAATAACAGCATACGGAAGGAAATTTGCATTCTCCGATTTTCCGAGTGTATTTCCATGCCAATACACATAAAACAAATAAAACATGCGGAAAATTGCTTTTTTCCGCATGTATTTTAATATTAATATTAATATAATGTTGATCTGGAAAAAGCAATTTTCCGTATATTTAATTTAAAAATTATTGTCATTTATTATTATATTATTCTGTGATCAGGAAAACTCCGAATCTTTTCCGGAATTTTTCTTTTAATGTAGTTGAGCGCGAAATGTCCATGATAACCCCTTGGCTTTATCCAGGAAAAAAAAAAAAGGAATATTATTGATGCCCAAGATTATCTTGATAAACATTGTTCCTAGAGAAAAGAGCCATTGTTTGTTTATTTACCTAATGAGGATGTCTTCCGTTTGTAATACAATGTCAATCTTATTTGAATTATCAATTTCACTTTTCATTCGTTTTACTCATTTTGGGGTTATTGGTTTATTCATTTGGAATATTTGGAATCTTTATTTATTTAGTTTGTTGAATTATTTAAATTATATGCAAAGAATTTAATATTGGTTTTATAAATGACAACACTTCTAGTAAGCCAGTATTTAGGTTTGATCCTTAGAAGTTATTGATTCGAAAAAAAGTTTTCAACGAGGAATGGATGCTTTCCCGCTTCAGGAAAGTTGTAAATATCGACGACTAACCTCACTTATCAATTCCGATATCTTCATCTGGCGCATAAATATCAACAAAATTGATTATTTTAGTTAACAAGATTGTCAATTACTGGTGATTTTATTCGAATTATTTGTTTCGTTTGTTTCATTCGAATAATTTTTTGTTGTAATTTGAATACTTAAAATTAATAACGAATAATTCGAGTAGAAACCTTTTTTTGAGGAGAACTAGCTTTTTTGGAACCAGGAAGGTCTCAATAGCGGTCAACTATTTATAGCAGAAAGTGTATGTAAGGTTGACGTAACTAAAAATTAACGGTGGTTTGTAGGAAAATATCGAGTGGCTAAAATTTACATGGATCGATTGATTCTCATATAAAATTAATATAAAGATTGTTTTTTTTTGAAGTTCTATATTTATCTAGTTTACCAATTTTTTATGTGCAGACATAAAATAGATCAAATAAAAGCTTGAAACCTACTTTATCACTTGTTGGTGTTTATCTTTTTCACATTCATTTATTTTTATTTTTTATTTTTAACGAAAATTTTATAATTAAATTTTTTTGAGCGCCCAATTTTTAACTTTCATTGTTTGGTAATTATAAAAGTGAAAGGATTTATCGACCGATCAGTAATTCAAGATTTTCGTCGTTTTGTGTAAAAAAGCACAATTTGATTTTAGCCCATTATGAATTCAATATTTGCTAAATTTGCATAATAGTATAAAAAATACTAGCCTCTCAAAATCAAAATCTAAGATTAATAATACTAAAGTCACATTCTAATGTGTAACCATTACAACATTATTTATTTATTATGTATATATTAGAAAAAAAAAATATTAAAGTACGTAATTATCATAACAACATGCTAATCCGTCAAAACTCTATTCTGTGTATGGAAAAGCACCAAACATAGATTTCAAAGGTGATTGGTGTATTTTTTTCTGTTTTAAAGCCAACTAACCAAAAATGTGTTAGTGAGTGAATGGTTCAATGTGACATTGAATTCCCTTTTGTAATTCGGAATAATAGTGAGGCGCGGCGCTCTCAAAACAGAGTTTTCCCGGTCCTATTCCAACATTGGAATATTTGTATAGGCGTTACGCATAATTATTAAATATTTTTTTTGTATGAACTATTGAACAATCGAAATTAACTCAAGGGATTTTTAATTTTATCAACACAACTTTAAAAATTCAATCTAACACAAATTATTTAAACGCTAGTACTAATACTAATATCTCTATCAACAATTTAGGAAAATATTTAATTTTACCATTGATTAAATATTAAATATTTAACAAATCGTACAAGGGGGTTTTTGTATGAATGAGTGAGTGTTGCATCATGCTATTGCTTTTTGAAAAATTTAAAATTTTTTGAATTAGTAATTTTTTATGGCGGTAGTGTTCGCGCGTTACAATCGATATGTAAGGCAATTTTATTAATAAATATTATGAGGCTTATTTTGTCATTCTACGCACATAAATTTTTATGATTTTTTTTTTTCAAACTTTCTTTATTCTAAGAAGAACAACAATTTTCTTCAATTGGAATTTCTCTCTCACATGCTTATGAGAACAAAGTAAAATTATCGTTAACATCAATTCACATTCTTTGAAGATTATTTTTATTTCAAACTCCCAAGGTCTGATGAAGTTTGAAAAACAATTGGAAAAAAAAAAAAAATTTACAATGAATTAATATTAATGTTGGACAGAATGTTTATATAATTATTATAGTTACTATTTTAAGACAAATAAAATTACAATGATATTTATTATTATATACATGTATATAGGGTACATTATAACGAACGAACATAGGGTTCAAAATTTTAGTGTCCAGTTTTACTGTTATAGTACTGCCATTCCATAACGATGGTTATATTCTGCATGCTAATAAATCAATCTCAAGAGAAAATAAATACATGGACGAATTATCATCACACATTGAAATGTATTAATTTATTAATGATATCGCTTTTTGGAAAAAAAAAAAAAAAAAGAAATTAATTTTATTATTGTTGCTGCATGTAAAATATTATTAGCAAAGATTTATTGTTCGCAATCAGTGTTCTAGAAATACTTGGTCGTAATCCGTTCTCCAGTTGTTGTTTTTTTATGGGTTTCTTTGGTGGAATAAAATGTATTTCTTTATCTGATGTAAAAGGTTATATAATTTTAAACCTTAATGTCATATATGGTAGCGATGGTAATGTTTTCCGGTCGTTTTAGCCACTGTTAATGCTGAAAAGCTTTTGAGCCATCTTATGCTTTCAGAGAAACTGGCAAGCTAGCTGTAATATCATAGTGAAAGTTTTATAGTAGGTCACTTGAAAACAGATAAAACAGGGCCATTCCTTGTCATAATTAAAGGTAGTAGGAAAATGAATTACATTAATTTGTTTTAATAAAACAATTATTTCATCACAAATTCGTTGTTATTGAAGTTATTCATTTTTTATAAATTAAAAATCATAGATAAAACCATCGTGGCGTTCAAATCGAACCCTAGTTTCTGTTACTGCATATTGTTCACTCGTTTGTTTGAATTCCATAATAATAGTGATAGTATTTTATAAATAAATAAAATTTATATATATATAAAAATAAAACCCGAAATTGGTTTAACATTTACACTACATTTTTATTTATTTTTTATTTTATCAATCACAATTGATTATTACATGATGTAAATAATAAGCATTCTTTTATATTTATTATTTACCATATCGAACATATCACAACAAAATGGCGAGAAAGTAAGTGGAGAGTGAATATGCTACAAAGAAAAATTACACAAAAAAAAATTACCATATTAATATAATGAATAAAGAAAATAATTTATAAATAAATAGAGCAAAATCTTTTCAAATCAATTTTAAATTATACGAAAAAAATTCATTTTTTTCTCATTATTTATCATTGTTATTATTTACAATTATTTGTTATTTATTTAACATTATTATTATTATCATTATTATTATCATAAATAAAAACTATCCACAACATGAATAAACTTTCCACTACACTTAAAGGTTATTATAAACATAAATCAAAGGTATGTTACTTTCTAGTATTCTTTATTTTCTCTTTTATAAAAATTGACTAACATCCTCTCCCTTCCTCTCTTCTCCCTATATTCTATATATCCTTTCCACAAAATAGAAAAGTTCATCAAATGGTGAAAAATTTATAAACAAATTCAAGTCAGGAATATGCTCGGTATGCGGCGAGAAATTCACGGAAAAGAATTGGTGTTTAGAGTGTCAAAGAAGCAAATTTAAAAAGAACTTTGATAATTGGTCAAGCAAGAACCAACATATTGATAATTTTATACAATCCAGTCAATTGAATTGTATCAATTCGGCAAATTATTTGGTTTGGATTCCATTCGATGATTTTATACAAACAAAGTATTTGGCTAACGGTGGATTTTCGGCTGTTTATTATGCTGTTTGGGATGATTATGAAAATGGTTGTGTCCGTGATGTTGTATTGAAACGTCCCCATAACGATCAAATTTCTAATCCTGAATTTTTAAAAGAGCAGGTATGAATAATTAATTAATTAATTGACCAAATTATATTTTTTATTTCAATCTTAAAAAATTTTTTTTTAACTTTAAATTTCTTTCCATGATTAATCTAGGTCTCTGTATATTTGTATGCTTCATCGAAAGGTAGTTCAATAATCAAATGTCTGGGTTTTACTTTACATCCAACAGAAGGCTATATGCTGGTGTTTGAGTATGCAGAAGAAGGTGATCTGAGAGGATATTTGAATGCAAATTATTCCAATTTGACGTGGATTGACAAAATCTCAATCTTAAAAGATGTAGCAAAAGCAATGCTATTGTTGCACAACAAAGATTATACACATAGTGACTTACATCCAGGCAACATTTTACTAAAGAAAAATAGAGATTCGTTTCCATATTTATCCTCTTCTGCATCATCATCAAGATCATCATTAGCACTACCGACCAAACCGTCTCCATGTAAAAAGAAATTGGTTGAAACAAGAGCCTTGGTGGATTTGTCGTTGTTTTATGATTTGAAATTTAACAAGGAAATATTTGGCGTGATACAGTACGTTGCACCTGAAGTATTCACCAATGGTCAATATACAAAGAATTCGGATGTTTATAGTTTTGGATTGATTATGTGGGAATTGGCAACTGGCCAAACCCCATTTTTAAATTATAACGATGATGGCAATTTGGTTAATGACATTATAAACGGCAAACATTTTGAAGCTTTGTCAAACAATAAAAACATACCAAAGGATTACATAGACCTGATGAAAAAATGTTGGGAGTTGGAACCAACTAATAGACCATCATTCCAGGTGATCGTTACTAAAATAGGCGAATGGATGTCTTCTCCTTCTAAGCATTTCTCCACAAAGAAATCTAAATCACTTGAATCGACTGATAAAGCTATCAAAAGAGAATCAAGATCAATCATAAGACTTCCTTTTTCTCGTAATCCATCTCCCCTTGCCTCTAATGATAAGAATAGCAAGAGCAACGGTAAAACCAAAAGCAAGAATACTAATAGTAACGTTAGTTCTATTCAAAGATTTAATAGTTTATCAAGTAAATCCTTATCTAAATACGTTCAACAATTAGAAGATGGTAATAACAACATTGATGATATTAATGTCAGGTATAATGATTATTATGATAATAGTGAGAATGACATTAAAATTAATAATTACATTAGTAAATATTATGGTAATAATGAGCATAATAATAATAACTATTCTAATGACAATCAATTTGCTCCTGCATTTAATGGAAATTATTTGTTTAAATAATTATTTAAGATAGCTAGCTATCAATGTAAATATTATTTATTATTATATTATTATATATTTACTATTTTAATTACTAGATTTTTTAATATTGTATAAATTTTTTATTTATTTAATGATTGATACATTCTTATCTTAATCTTAATTTCTTTACATATATTCCTCTCTCTAGAATAAACTTTTTTAATTTAATTCTCTCAAAATTATTACTCAAACAACAGTGAAGGTGTATAATAATATAATATATAATGGATTTTTGTTTCTGTCATATGTCCGTCCACTAATAATAATATCATAGATGGGCATCACTATCGCTAGTTAAAATGCCCTCACTGCCCAATATCAATTGAACAATGTAACATGAGTTCATATGAGCTCTTGGGTAGGAATTTTGGATGAAAACTACATAAAAGTTTCTTCAATAATAGCAATTGCAGTATACTTGCTGCTAAATTGTAATTTTTAACAAATATATTAATTTCATGCTCTTTGCTTTCGCGTTCGCTGTTTGTTTTGTTGTTCTTTTTGCTAATCATTATTACAATAATGGAAGCCATAATTTTCAGGCTTTGGCCATTCTTTTAAAATCATAAGCTTTTGATAATTAAATGATGGACCGAAATCGATTTATATTAGGTAGCTAGCTATTGAGCAATATAGTCTCAAATATAAGAATGTCAAGTTAAGCAAGAAGATCTCTCAACAAAATAAAGCATCAAACCTAATAGTAAAACTGTATTATTATTGAAACTTCCGTTTTTATATTTTCAAAAGAACTATAATTGGTTGTTTCTGTGGTGGAGGGTAGATTTCAAAACCGCCCATCAATCAAATATCACGCTCCATGTGAGACTACTACTACTACCAATTAATTACTCCCTTAAACTGGTGGTGGTAACTAATTAGAATATTTCTATTAAATCAAAGAAATTCAATAAAGTCAAAGCTATATTTTTGATAATATACAAAAGTCAATGATATCCGCATTTTCTTTTTTTTTGATTCGTTTTTTAATTAGGTGCTTCTACTGTCCTACATTCCAAGGATTTTACAACTATGATCACAATTTAACTATATCAACTAAGCTAACTACATTTTTTAGGACGTTTATGCCCCTTGTATCTCTGTCTTTAGGAAGATCTATCTATGTTTGATTGTCAAGCCATATAAAGTTTATTCGATACACGGTATAAAAGAAAGTTCTTTTCTGCTAAAAATATCCTTATACAAAAAGTCATAATATATAATAATGATAATGTGTTATTTTCATTTGCTTCCTTTGTATTCCATGTATTTCCTTGTTTGTATTTGAAGATGTGCTTGAATACGCACTTGAATGAAATGAATGATTGAAATATTCCCGATGATCAAAAGAATATTTATTTTTGATTGTCCAAGTTGCATTATTTAGATTTGCTACTCAATGAAAAGTCACTAGAACTTTCTACTAATAGACTAATTGAATCCTTTTATCAAAACAGCCTGCTATCTTGGCGAGAAAAGTTGTTTTCAGGAGCCAAAAAAATTCTATACCTATTATTATCAAAATTTCTATATTTAGTTGATTGCAACCACTCCAACCTAATATGTAATATTAAATCATGAATAATTTTCACCGTCTTGGCTCAATATTATTCGGTTTAATGCTTCGAATTTAATAAAAGATTCATTTATTATTATGCCATTTTGTCAGTCCGTTAACGGAAATATTCCAAGTATTGCCGGTGTAACTAACTGCCCGAACTGTTTTTCATTCTTAAAATAGATTATAAGATCAAATCCTAATAATATATTTTATGCCAATTCATTTTGTTGGATCTTCGATGCGATGCTTGGCGTATAAGCTTGGAAGTCTCATTTTTTTGTTTTAGCTCTCGTAACCAAACAAACATATTACCTGTATTGATATAAAGTTCGTCGTTCTGAATTCTTTTTGCCTTATTTAATTTTGCATACGTTAAAAGTAACGAGCATATAAAGCCTTTTAATATCTTCACTTATTAATTCTTTATACGGTTTAATCATTACCTGATACAATATAATGCTCATTAATCAATGTCGTCGTCTTTGACCTTTAAAATGCTAAATGGACAACATTCACAAATCTTCATAGAAAATTCTTAATAATTCTTCCTCAATAGAAAAAAAATTTGAGGTTAGTATTAGTATATTTTAGATGAATTTAAGGGGGGGAAAATTTTTTTTTTGATTTTGATCATCAATTTGTCAAAAACAAATTAAAACAACGAAAGATTTGGATGCAAGATGCGATTTCTTATACTCGAAGTTCTGAAGTTTATGGAACTATCCCATATTTTTTTAATTATATATAAATGATACACAAAGTATCAATTTTTTATGACTTGGGTCAGAATCAAGTCTTTTCCTGCTGATATTTATAGTTTTGGAATGATAATGTGTGGCAAGTATATTCCACAATGGAGGAAAAGACCTAAAATTACCAAAGACACAGGCTCCTTCTAATTTCTATATGCAGATAGATTTGCTCAAGAAGATGTTTATTATAACGCAATACTAAAATATCAACATTAGGTTTCAGAACATAAGATAAACTGAATTTTGCGAATTGAGAAGAGATGATGAAGCAATCATTAATTAATTAACTTGTAAGAAATAGATAGATAGATTATTTAAATTATTGTATATACAAATTTTGTTTTATTAAATATGGATTTTTTTTTAAATAAAGTTATGCAAGTATGTTTACATTGTATATATTCACAAGTGTGTAAATCTATGCTTTATGCTTATACCCTCTACGCAAATTATTAATTAAATAACTTCTTCATAACTTGGTGGAGGTTTATCATAAAGAAGATAATTATTGTTATGATGCTGATGCTGATGCTGATGCTGATGCTGATGCTGATGCTGACACTGATGCTGATGCTGATTATCATGCTGATGCTGATTATGATCGCGAGTACAAATTATCCCGCTTGAATCAATTTCCTCTCCTAATATTAATACTGCCATTCTTTGATACTCGGGATGGCAAGGACAATAAATCGAATTTTCCTCATAATCAGGCAAATAAACAAAATCATCCAATGCCAAACACGACAACAACTTTATTTTTTGATTGATTCGTAATTTTGTTCGTTGGGATGGGTGTGAAGGTAATGTGGTGATGAAAGTGAATTTCAACTCGTGACTAACATTGATCAATGGTGTATTGCATGAATAATTTGTTGGTCCTTTACATTTTGGTAATTGAAATGAAATGAGTTTGTGATAAACCAAATTGCCAATATCTCCTTCATCGTGATCTTGTAGTAGGCTATCCCGACCCAGATCATTGATTGACATAGTATTTGATACATTAATTTCCTCAAACTTCCGTTGTTTCGGTTTATACTTGATCTTTTCCACCAATTGAACTTTTACACCATGAATTTTTATTTTTTTAGTTAATGGTGTCAACCTGACCTCGATTGGTATCGTTTGTCCCATGATGAAATATTTTTTTGGTATTGAGATTTCGTAACTTAATAGCTCATCCAGATCCCTTGAAATCCCAATCCCTCGATCATTCTCGTGATCGTGCAAAATACGTACAATGTAAACCTTGCACGTTTTACTCAGCACATTTAACAGCATTCCTTTACATCTCAGCTTCGCCACCAATCGATAACTCACTGAACCTTTAGGGGTCTTGACGGATTCTGGTAAATCTCCGGGAACATATATTTCAAATGGAAACGAATGTTTTCCAGCCATTATTAGTGATGACGTTGACGTTGATTTTGGTTTAGTAGTGTTAATGTTGTTATTTTTTAAATTTAAAATGACTGGCAAATGATTTTTTATTCTAAACAATTTTTTATATTTTTCGTATTTACGTTTATTGTTATTATTGTTCGAATTTGTTGTTGCATATGATCTTAATGATGTTGAAGGAGTTGAAGGAGATGGTGATGATGAGGTATTGTTGATAAATTCCCAATGATGTGAGATTAATTCTTTCCTTTCTTTTACACATCTATGACCGATTTCTAAAAATAATAAATAATAGTAAATGTAAAAAATTATTATATATATATTTTTTTTTTAAAAAAAAAACAGTAGATAATTACTTATTGATGATGAATCATTCATGAAAACCATTTCAGGAAAAAAAGCTTTGGTTTTTCCAATAAACTTCAGTTCAAGTTTTTGTATTTTCATCGGTTTTTTCAAATTTAACTCCAAAACACCTCTCAAGAAATATCCGGTTGCTTCTTGTGCACTACCTCGAAATATTATTACTGGTTCAACTAAATCTATTTTTATTATATTTTTATTGTTGCGTGATGGTAAAATCTTTGATAAAATTTTATTACTATGATCATGATTGTGATGATGTGATGATGTTGATGTTGATGTTGATATTGATGTTGATGTTGATGTTGATGATAAAGTTGAGTTGGTGGCGGTTAAGATAGAATTGAAAGTGTTGTTATTATTGTTGCAGATATTGTCGTTGTTTTCATTATTTGTAGAAAATAAAGGTGGTCGTTGATAAATTCTTTGTGACGATGATGATTGTAATGATTGTAAAAAATTCATTTTTTTTTTTCAAAAAAAAAAAAAAAAATGTATGAAAAATTTAATTAAATTTATACAAAACTGTTTGAAATTTTTTTTACTAATCAATTTTCCAATTTTGGTTGGGAGCTGTTTATCTGGTACTATTACTTATCAGTGATTTATTTGTTCAATTTTTTTTTATTATTGTTTGTATATATTAATATATTTATTATTTATGTATATACTCACAAAAAGGTCATGAACTATTTTTTTGATAACCAATCAAAAATAATTTTTTTATTGATAATTGTGCACGGGTGTGTACGTACATTAATATATTTATTTTCCTGTGTTTTTTCTAATTACCGCCGCGAATGTTTTTGTAAAATCTTGATTTCCTTAATCCAAAACTCGTATATAGCAAATACTCAAATTATTGGTATTAGTATATATGTCTAGAGCGAGTGACATATTAGTTATATATATAATATCTGGTAACACAACAGATTTGCACCTTGACATCCAAATTTGTCTAATATTATTAACATTATTAATTAATACAACAATGAAAAATAATTGTCCTAAAAATTCGCAAAAAGTTTTTTAAAAAAAAAGCTAGCATCAAATGACACAATTCATAATCATTTATTTAGTATTAGTATTAGTATTAGTATTAGTATTAGTATTGAATTTCTTCTCATATCGAAAATCTTTATAACTGATACTCTGAAAGAGATTCGATCTAATTGGTGCTTAGTGAGACAAACATGGTCAATTAGAAAATAGGGGAAACGTGATGAATCTAGGTTTGCAATCAGTCTTAACAATGATGACCCAAATCGTGTCCTGGTACTCATTTTGGCCAAGAAAATTTGGTGACAACCGTAAAATATAATGGTGGTAGTATTATAGTGCCCAAGTAGAGCACTAGGTCCCGTGGAAGGAACAATGAATAGAGAGGATTGTTGAGAAAATATTCGTTGTCCTGCATACATTGAAAGAAAATTTAAAGAAAAAAGTTATATTTTTATCAAGATATAACAGCTTGGATTCAAAGAAAAAAAAATAAAAAAATAAAACTCTTGAGGATTGGCATTCACGTTCGCTTTGACATGAAATCAAATTGAACAAATAAAAATTTTTTGGGGGATGATCCATGACTTTTTGTATAAAGGACCCTGAATACGCCATACTTCTTTCTATTAGATTAACCAGGACTCTCTCTGTGTTAATACAATTTGACTTTTGTTCCTGGATAGCATTTTGTTGCTTACTAATTCTTTAAACTTGATTTGTAATTTTTTTATTTTAGGTTTGTTTTTCTTTAAATATTTTAATTGCTTTTTTTTTCCTCTAATAAAATTCCTATGATCTTCCTTATCCTTTTAATCTTTTTGCTGGCCATTCTCGCTTTTTAATTTGTTGATTTCATTTTGAATTTCTCCTTGTTTTTCATTTAGCTTTCTTCTTCTCCATTAAGTGTTATTTCAAAAAAATTTTCCTAATATATATAATAAAAAAATGCGGTAATTTAATTTAATTAAAAAAAGTAAATAAATAAAAAGTTATAATTTTATACATACATATTCTTGAAAACTCGAGCTTTAAAACCATATTTGTTTATTATGTGGGAAAATGCAAATCAAAATTTTTAATTTTTTTATTATTCAGGGTTCTAAATAATGAAACAAGTCATTGTGTACATTTTTGCATAATTAACGAATTTAGGATGGACGAACGGAACTTTTGGAGAAATATCATGTTAGCGTGGTCAAAGTTTTTGAATACAACCAGGTGAACTGTTTGCTTCATTATTCTTAAGAAATTAACAAGTGAATAAACGCAATTAGAAACAAAACCAACCAATTGATGGATGAGTAAATTCGGCTCAAAGAATAACAGACACAAACAACTGGAAGATAATTTTAATTAAACGAACAACCGATAAAAACCATTGTAAAAAGCAATAATTCTTTATTATGTCAAAGTGTTTACAATCTAAAGCCATAATCATGCATAAGCAACTTGTCAAGAAATCCTGCGATCCCACAGTTTCTTGGAACCATATTGACCAAGCCGAGCGACGTCATCAAATAATTTTCTTTATTATTTGCTTTAAAGTTTTATAACTGTATTCGTCCTATATTGGTTCTTTTTTGTTCCTCATTCCTTACTGGCTTGTACAGTCTATGATTATAATTGGTATTGTTTGCGATCAGTTCCGAAATTTATAATCAATATTAGTTGTCAGATATGATAAAATTGTCTTTAGTCAACGGAATCGTTTATAATTAATCAAATAGCTTGAATTTCATCTACCATAAGAATGACTGGCGTCGAAATTTACCGTATAGAGAAACATGAATAAATTTCGGTATAATGAAGGATATATGTTTGGTTCATGAACCACCAGTGAATGTCGTTGGTAGCCAATTTCATGTAAATGATTTTTGTCATTGACAATAAAAGCGAAAAACTGGTAACTATGATACATGCAATGAACCTTAATCTATAACCATTATGAAAGAGCCCAAAGCATATAATCTTCCAGTTGCTCCACTATTTGATTTATTCACTGAATCGTGCATTACTGAAGTATCAATTACTAATAATGAAAACAATTACTTTGTTTGTCAAGAAAAACCTACGGTACATTTACTCTATCAAGTGAAGATCTTGTTCCTAAAATTTGGAAGCAAAGAAAAAACTCGGGAATCTTCACAGCTATAGGTGGATTGCTAAAAGGAAACATTATCCAGATCATTTATAGCGAAGTAGAATGGGGTTTCCCAAGTCAAAAAAAACACCAAAAATTAACAAACTCACTTCAAAGAACAAAACCTAACAACTACATTTTGCAAAAAAAAACCCTCGCCATCGTCATCATCATCAATTCTTAAAAAATAAAAGACAAAGTCTACAAAGGGTAAAAGCTAGAGATAATTATGATAATTATAAATTTGGGAAAAAGATCATGAGATTCAATACAAGCTATGTGGTTGGTAGTGAGAGAGAGAGGAGATGGGCGATGTCTGAAAAAATTTTTTTTTTCAATTCTATTAAATTAATTGTTGTAAGCGATGTTAGCCGGTAAAAAAACCTTAGCCAGCCTGCTATGTCAAACAACTTGGATCAAATAATTTACTAAGCAAATAACATATTCACTAAAAATCGGGGTTTTTTATTATTTACCAAGTCTATTTCTAAATAAACCCCAGTTGATAAAAAGGTTTCTCATATGGTATATACTAAGCTTACCAGTATTATTATTATTATTATTATTTACTATTGTTATTATAATATCTCCTAATTTGTCACCATTACTACTATTAATGATTCACTATTACTATTAATAGAGTCTATTCGAATTATTTGTTTTATTCATTGTGAATTTGAAACAAATAATTTAATTAATTCAAAAATAACTGAATTTGATGTATTACGAATAGGGATTTGTATTACTACTATTGATCCTGCTATATACGAGTATTGTGTTTTGTTTTTGAGCAAATGTATGATTTTTTCTTTTGCCATTCTAAGTAATGCGGATGGACTTATCTCAACATGTGCCTATGTTACTGAATTCTGAACTAAAATTCCAGATGTAACAGCCAACTAATTTTTTACTATTCCAGTATCAATTTTTACCACTCTTCTTTTAATGCAACAATCAATTCTTCTTTATTTCTAGGTTGTGATTTTCTTTTCTTTCTAAAACATCTCAGAAATATTCAACTAGATTTAGTACAGACCATAGAATATATGAAATTGAAACTCAGTCCAGTTTCCTACATACCAATAATTCCTCCACGTTCAAATTCAGAAAGTTCAGTTAATTACGACATATTATTTCGAGTAAAAAAAAAATTAAACTTTAAAACAAAAAAGGTTGTTTAACTTGTCAAACACTTTTAAACTTTTTTCGCAAAATAAATAATAATTGTAATTATAAATATTTTTTCTTCCGGTCAAGTAAATTTTTGATTAGTTTAACATTTATAAAATTTACTTATTTCTTGGCCAATAATAGAAATATAATTTTATTCCCGGAAAGGAAAGAATCAATCGTAAGACCGGTTTGCAAGTTGGTCCCATGCGCCCCAAATTTTTTTTGGATTAATAGTAGCAGGAGCAGTAGTTTTATTTTTTAATTTAATTTTGTATTTATTATTATATTTTACTTTAATAAAAATAAACTTCAACTTGGGAAAAAAAAAAAAAAATCGTAAGACCAATTTATTTACATTGTAATTAAAATTTTTATAAACTCAATTTTTATAATGGATTCAACAATTTTGGAAAAATATTTCAATGAAAATGAAAGATTATTAAATACAGAAGATTTTTATGATGTAA